GGGTGACTAGTGACAGAGTGAGGGAGGGGGCTACTAGTGACACAGTGGGGGAGTGACTAGTGACACAGTGAGGAGGGGTGACTAGTGACACAGTGAGGAGGGATGACTAGTGACAGAGTGAGGAGGGGTGACTAGTGACACAGTGAGGGGGTGACTAGTGACACAGTGGGGGGTGACTAGTGACAGTGATGGGGGTGACTAGTGACAGTGAGGGGGTGACTAGTGACAGTAGGGGGTGACTAGTGAGACAGTGAGGGGGTGACTAGTGACAGTGAGGGGGTGACTAGTGACAGTGAGGGGGGTGACTAGTGACACAGTGGAGGGGTGACTAGTGACACAGTGAGGGGTGTGACTAGTGACAGTGAGGGGAATGACTAGTGACACAGTGGGGGTGACTAGTGACACAGTGAGGGGGGTGACTAGTGACACAGTGAGGGGGTGACTTGTGAAAGTGAGGGAGGTGACTAGTGACACAGTGGGGGGTGACTAGTGACACAGTGGGGGGTGACTAGTGACAGTGAGGGCGGGGGACTAGTGACACAGTGAGGGGGGGGGACTAGTGACACAGTGAGGGGGTGACTAGTGTTTGTATCTGTATGTGTGTCAGTTTTTGTATCTGTGGGTCTGAGTATCGGCATGTATGTCAGTGTTTGTCTGGATCTGTATGTGTGTCAGTATGTATCTCTGTGTCTGTATGAGTGTCAGCATTTATATCTGTATGTGTATCAGTGTTTGTATCTATATGTTTCTCAGTCTCTGTGCATCGGTATGTATATCAGTGTTTGTATCTGTGTGTTTGTGTATCTGCATGTGTGTCTATGTACCTGCATGTGTGTATCAGTATGTGTTTATCTGGTAATGGTGTATATGTGCATACACCTAAGCTTTTCACCAGCACTACACATAAATACACCCCTGCATTCAAACATCAATACTACATGCAAACACATATCTATATTAAAACACCAACATGGAGTTATACCTAACAGCTGAAAGATCAAAAATAAGAAAAGGGCTCTTAATTTTGTTCTTTCAGCTGGTTAGAGAGTGGATATCGCGCTACCTTGATATTCATACATGGGAATATGTGGGGTATTTAAGGATACTAAATTAGGGAACTATCTACTAAACTAAAATAAAAAATACATTTAAAAAAAATCACATCAAGAGCAATATCCACCACAGCTGGAGTAATATTTTGACACTAAAACCCAAGGTGATACCATTATATCAATGATCTGGCTGTCCCATATGCCTTCATAAGGGGCCATTTCATACAGCTCTGCTCAAAATATAAAAAAAGTGGCAAGCACTGGAGCAAATACTGGTCTCCCACCTGCAATATCAAGAGAAGAAGAACAAGACTATTCCCACGAAAAAGCTTGCAAAACAAAGTACAACTACATGTCACAAGCTCCAATCCCTACAACTTCAACACACCAATGGAAATGTACACAAACTACAATTAATATACTACACTTAAGGTAACAGGGCTTGTAAATTTCAAGCCAATCGGATACATTCCAAGCAGATCCAAGCTAAGATCCCTAATATCCATGAAAAGAATGGCTTAAAAATCAGCAACCCCACCAAATAGATACTTCTGCATTATTTTACAAAATGCTCTATAACTTGAAAGACGATCAAGGTACACATGCCCCTTCTGAACAGGAAACTGACAATTTTCTGGATGCAATACAGCTCCCCCAAGTACCGTGAGATGAAGCCTCAAAATGGGAACTCCCTATCACTGAGGAAGAGACCATCGTGCCTAAAAAAATCCTTGCTCTTACATAAAGCACCTGGCCTTGATGGCATATATGTCAACTTACTAGTGCTGTACTTTGTAACCCTGTTTAATATATTTAAAGATACTGGAGCCATCACCGCAAAGATGGTATCCACCCATATAATCACTCTATCTAAATCAGGCAAATCTCCTACACTCTGCAATTTTCACTTGATTTCTCTGCTTAATGCAGATATAAAATTAGATGATAAAATATGTGCCACTAGGTTGAATCTGCTTTTCCACACCCTAATCTCTAAAAAACAAGCAAGGTTTGTACCTCATAGGCAAGTGTCAGACATCTTCTGTTGGGTAATGGACTAATAGAAGTTATTCAAAGGAACAGAACCCCTAGTGTGTTAGATGCCCTGTTTATAGAAAAGGCTTATAATAGGCTTACTTGGCTGTATATATCCCGCACTCGCTGCAAATTTGGCATACTTGACTGATGCCTCTGGGCAATACTGGGTCTATATTCCTACTCCTCGACTCATATCCTAAACTTCAATTCTTGTCCACTTCTCTGCATATAACTAACAGTGCCAGACAAGGCTGCCCTCTCTCCACTCTCATATTTTTGCTAGCATTGGAGCCACTGGTCCATAAGATCTGAGCCTCTTAAGCAGAGACAGGCATTGACACACCAGTGGGTCCCCAGAAACTATCCCTATTTGTGGATGATATTCTCCTAACTCTCACCAATGCAGATTATTATTATTATTATTATATTTATAGAGCGCCGTCAAATTCCGCAGCACTTTACAATGGGTGGACGAACAGACATGTAGTTGTAACCAGACAAGTTGGACACACAGGAACAGAGGGGTTGAGGGCCCTGCTCAGTGAGCTTACATGCTAGAGGGAGTGGGGTAAAATGACACAAAAGGTAAGGATAGTATTAGACTAGTGACAGTTGCAGAAGAGGAATCAGTCAGGAGCTATTAACAGTTTAATTGATACGCTTTTATGAAGAAGTGGGTTTTTTAACGATTTTTTGAAGGAGTGGAGACTGGGTGAGCATCTAACGAAGGAGGGAAGCGAGTTCCACAGGAACGGTGCAGCCCTCGAGAAATCTTGAAGGCGAGCATCAGAGGTGGGAGTACGGACAGAAGATAGACGTAAGTCTTCAGCAGATCGTAAGGGCCCAGACGGGACATACTTGTGTATAAGGGAGGATAGATAGGTGGGAGCAGCATTATGTAGATATTTGAAAGCAAGAACCAGAATTTTAAATTGAGCTCTATATTTTATAGGAAGCCAATGTAGGGACTGACAGAAGGGTGAGGCATGGGAGGTGCGGGCGGACAGGAAGATGAGCTGTAACGGCGCTAGTTGGGAGCGCGTAAGACCACTGAGAAGTGGATTACAGTAGTCAGGGCGAGAAAGGACAGTGGAATGGACCAACACCTTAGTCGCATTCTGCTAAAGGACCACTTAGGCACCCAGACCACTTCAGCTTAATGAAGTGGTCTGGGTGCCAGGTCCAGCTAGGATTAACCCATTTTTTATAAACATAGCAGTTTCAGAGAAACTGCTATGTTTACAAATGGGTTAATCCTTCCTCCAATTCCTCTAGGGGCTGTCTAGAGGCGCTTGCGTGATTCTCACGCAAGCGTTCATAGGAAAGCATTGTAAATGCGACCGGCTGAATGTGCGCGCAGCTCTTGCCGCGCGTGCGCATTCAGCCGAATGGGAGGAACGGAGGATCGGAGGAGGAGAGCTCCCCGCCCAGCGCTGGAAAAAGGTAAGTTTTTACCCCTTGCTTCTCCCCAGAGCCGGGCGAGTATGTTTTCCTGGCACTATAGTGGTCCCATTGCGCACAATGTTTTTGAGATGGAAATGACAGGATTTGG